GGACAACTTAGACTTTGTTCTTTCCTTTTGCATTTGTCTTTGACCTAGTCACAGGTTGGCTGCTGGGACCCTCATAAGCTTTCTGGGAATGCTGAGTTTTAATAATGGAGGGCTCAAGTTGAGAAGCAAACTTAAGTGAGCTTCTTGTGAATCTTGTCTTTCCAACTGGCTGTGATGTGGAAGTGCTCTGTTCTGCACTTTGTTTAGTAGCTTTCCTTGCTGCATTTTCATCCCTAGCCTTTGCAATCTTCTTGCCAACCTTTGCACTTTGCTCAGCTGCAGTGATTCCACCCTTAAAGGTCTGCTTGTTGTGACCATAGGACTGACACTTAGAACATTGCACTGTCGTTGACCTTTTCCCTTTGTCTGGTTCATCAGCTGCCCTTTTCCTCTGTCTAGATGGCCTACCAATGGCTTCTTGTCATTTGTGGTGGGAGGATTGTGGGCATGTCAATCTCTGGTCAGTGCCCAAAATCAGGTACAGAGTGAATAGAGTTGGCATAAGCTTGCTTATATGTTTGGACTGAGAACCATGCGCTGCAGAAGTTGTAAGGGTTCAGTCCAACAGCCAATATTGCTCTAACTGCATGTTTTCAAGGCAAACCTGAAATTTGCCATAAACCACAAATACAAGTTTTTTTTGTTAAGTGATACAGGAAGCATAGACTTCCCATCCCTCAATTCATATTCACCCTCCCTTGATTGATAAGCTTTGCAAGTTCTTGATTCAAAGGTCAACAACCTTATTCTCTTTACTATTTTTGGGCAAGGTTCATCTTCATTCCAACTGTTGCACTTTTGTCTTCTAGTTGATAGCCTCACCATACACATTCTTCTTATACCTATTCAAGCATGGTATGCTATGTTAGCAACATTATAGACAACGTAAATCAACATTAAAGAAAGTTACAAACCAAAAGTTATACCTTCTAATAGTGTTAAAATAGGCCTGCATCTATCCACACCCAATGTTGAATTGAAACTGTCTACAAAGTTGGTTTTATTTTCTTCATTGCATATCTTGGGATCAAATTTGTGCCTTGTCCACCTTGACTGGTTCCCCAAATCAGCCAACCATTCACAAGCCTTAGGATTTACTGCCTTAATCCTATCCATGGCCTTTTTAAATGTGAAAGGTGATGTGGCACTGCATGCTAACCAGAAGAGTGAATGCATCAAAGGGCCAGGAAATGCTCCTTTCCAATTTGCTGCTAAGTGTTTGCAGCAATACCTCATGTCCACCTCAGGCCATATCTCAATCAGTGCTGGATCTATTCCCTGTATACAAGTACACAATAATTAGATTAGCTATTAGTTGCATTAAATTAACATTTGGTTGGATCAAATATCAGATAAAGCTTACTTTTTGTCTGTCTGAAATGATACACCAGTCATTACCCCTCCCAGAGTTTGACACGATCTTTTTCAAGTGCCAAAAGAAAAACTTCCATGTGTCAGCATTTTCCTTCGGAACTACAGCCCAAGCAAAGGGAAACAGTTCATTATTTCCATCTAATGCCACGGCAGACAGAAGAACACCACCAAAATGGCCTTTCAAGTGGGCTCCATCAACTCCCACCAAACTCCTACATCCTGCAATTACACCATCTATGGCAGCCTTGAATGAAATGAATATTGTTGAAAAGGTGAGGGCTGGATCAGGTGGATTCAGTTGCTTCCAAACACAGTGTGCCTCAGATCCTGGGTTGGTTGCTTTAACCATTTCACAGTATTTTGGCAAATGCCCAAAAGAAGTATCATGCCCACCATTGATCTGCCTCAAAGCCACCCCTCTCATCTTATAAAGAGTACTTGTTGCCATTACCACACCATATCTACTAAATAAGAGCTCATTTAATGTCTTTCCAAAGATGTCATTATTAGCCCTTATGTCTTCCATTAGCTTTTCTGCAGCCCATTTCACAGTCACCAGGGTATTTCTTTCATCTAATCCTCTACATGTATGCTCAGAGTCAGTTATGCTCTTTATTGCCCAAGTCACTCCATCTGGTAGCTTGCTTGAATGGAGTCTCCAACTACAATGCAAATCAAGACATGAAGCAGTGAACCCCCTTAGACTGCTCCTATCAACCACCACTGCAAAGCCACACTGTATACAGTAATCTCTGAAGACAGACATGAAGTGGTCTTTATCAGTAAATATCATCCAAGGCTTCAACACTATACTGCCAAACTCAACATCAGACACAAATTCTCCATTTTTATACATCCTACTAAAATATGTCTTATCTGCACCTAGTTCCCTTTGTCATTCCTCTGATATGTATGGGTCATATGAGTCATGAATGTCCCCAATTTCTTCATCATCTTCACCATCACCATCCCTGTCATCTTGAAGCTCAGCATCTTCATCAACTTGAAGCTCAGCATCTTCATCAACTTCTACCCTATTACTGTCATCTACCACCTGATCTTCCACCCTATTACTGTCATCTACCACCTGATCTTCCACCCTTGCACTGTCATCTACCACCTGATCTTCCCTCTCATGCCTATTCCTAAATGCTTCATTGAACTCACTCTCAGTCACCACCATTGCCTCAACAACAGTATTATTGTTCTGAGAACCCTTCTTCCTAGCTACTGTAGTCTTTGGAATTTTGTGTAAGACATTAGGAAAGGGTTTTGGAAAGACAGCACTTTCTGTTTGAGGAACAATAGGGGCATTTGAGAAAGTTTCTTGTGGGGTTATTGTTTCTGAACTAGTGCCTACTTTTAGCTTTCTCTTGACAGGTAGTTTCTTACTTTTCTTAGATTTAGGTGCAATCTTTCTTTTCCCCTTTTGTTGATTCTGCTCTTCATATTCATCTTCCTCTTCAGTTGGTGCATTGTAATTTAACTCAGCTTCTATCCTAATATCATTGATGTAATCATCACTTTCAAGATTTCCTACAATCTAACCTTGTTCAAGATCATTTAACCCCTCATTTATCTGAGAATGTTCCTTTTCTAGACTATTCAAGTTTTTAGGTGGGCTAGCAGGGTTGTTTTTCTTCAGTGTTTCAGCAAGCTTTCTAGCAACAATCCAACCTTGTTCAAGATCATTTAACCCCTCATTTATCTGAAAATGTTCCTTTTCTGGACTATTCAAGTTTTTAGGTGGGCTAGCAGGGTTGTTTTTCTTCAGTGTTTCAGCAAGCTTTCTAGCAGCAATAACACAGTCACTAGGTTTATCCCCAAACCCAATCCAAATAGTAATCTCTTCCCTATCCTTCAATCTATCCAGCATACTCATTAGATCACTATTAGAAGTAATGTTAACATCTTTCATTTTATAAGAGTAGTGAAACTTAGGGAATTTAGGGAAATCATAGTTGTTTTTCCTAAACCCTTCCTCACACTCTATGATTAAATCAATCCACATGACTTTGTCCACATCTTCAACAAAAACATCAATTACATTACCCATGTGAGCAAATTTAATCATAACTTGATCCATTCTGCAACATAAAAACCAGACGCATAAATTTAAACATCAAACACCCACATACAAGCATAAAGTTATCATCTTTAATCAACATATACACACAACAACAAAAAACAGAGCACCTAACTTCTTCAAGTCTAAAAGAACATCAAAAAACCGTAATATTTAAAGACATACCTTGCTTAAGGTCTGTATAGCACTTAGCAACTCCTAGGATGTCCACGATTGTCAGAATTCTGCTTCAAATCGATCCAAAAACCCTAAATTTCGCTCCCCCAAATTTGCCAAATTTCGATCTTCACCAAACCCTTAATCGCTACCAATTGCTCAATAATTTCGAAAAAAAAAACATTAATCGGTTGTGTTTGTTTCACCCTAATTAAAACACACTAAGTTTCAGTTGTGATTTGATGTATGTTGAATGAAGAAGAAAGGTTTTGGGATTTTTGTTGGATGAATGTCGAGGAACAGTGCAGTGTGGTTGGCATTAATGAAAAAGGGGAGGGGATGCATTAAATCAGGGTTAGGTTAGTAATTTTGTCTAATTTAGTTAAAAAATGAGCCATTTAGGAGATGGTTAGCCCATTTAATGACAATTAGGCCACTAATTGTAAATTAAAGAAATTTAGATGTCACTTTAGATATTAAAAAAAACATCGTCTCCCACGTGGAAAACTTAAAAGTAGGAGGCCACCATGTAGAATTTCCCTTTTTTTTGTTTTTTTTTTTGAATTTTTACTGTAAAAAATATTAATTTTTTTGTTAAAAAATTATTTTATTTTATTTTATTTTTAAGACTAACCACAGGCCGTCACGTGTCAAGTAACTTGTTATAACAATAATAACAATAGGATATGGCTTCCTTCATAATAATAATAATAATAATATTAACTGATGCGGCTAATCGGAAGCGGGTGAAGTACGAATCTAGTTGTCGAGCAATAGGATATGGCTTTCTCTTTCTCTTGGGAAGTTAGAAAATGAGGCTGTTGCATTGCTGAAGCGGATCCAGAATTTTTCGAAGACTCAGGATATTGGGGCGCGTGCTGCAGATCATATCTTTACTAGGATCGGCTTTTCAATAGCTGGAGGAGTGGGGGCCCAGATTGTATCTCGGCTTCCCACTAATTTTCTATAGGTTTTATAACTTTGTATTTTTTGAGATTAATAATAATATTAACAACAATAATAATAATAATAATAATAATAATAATAATAATAATAATAATAAATAAGTAATAAATTAAATAATAATAATAATAATAATAATAATAATAATCAATAAATAATAATAATAATAATAAATAAGTAATAAATTAAATAATAATAATCATCATCAATAATAATAATAATAATAATAATAATTATAATAATATAATAGCAATATTAATAATAATATTAATAATATATACATTTGTATATACACATATGTATAGTAATAAATAATCAATAAATAATCAAAGATCACTAATCCGTAGTTAAAAATCACTAATTAATAAGTTCATTTCATTTCAATTCAGTTCAGCTGAGTTCAGTCAATCGGAACAGGCCCTTAAATGTGATAAGGATTGATATTGCAAGTTGGACATAAAATTCTACATTACATGACCAATTGAATACTTAATGAACCTTCCTCAACGTTCTACAATAATCAAAAGGAAATATCTTCACATCCAATTCCATCTGTTTGCGTGTGATTGTATGAATGCTATATCACCCATAATCAACGTGAAGCATGAGTTCTCTCCAAGACTCCAATGCTTCACGGGAACCATATTGTGCTCCGTATTTTAAGCTACCCGATCATTAACTTTTACACCTATAACACAAAAAAAATTAGATTAATTAATAAATTAGCCATCATAAAGATAGAAACATGCATTTAGCAATAATATAGAAAGAAGCATGCATTTAGCATCCCCTATGTTTTTTATTCACCTGTAAAACTTTTTTTTAAAGGACAAGGCTTGGCGAGCCTAATTAGTATAATCAAGAAATATCGATCTCCGCCAAGGCAATCAAGCCTTACGGAACAGAGTCAACAAACACTTGCTCAAAACCATTACAAGAATTAAGTCTAGCAGCCTGACATGAAAGCAAGAAAAATGAATGAAATCTTTGCCTAGTGAACCTTAAATACTCTACATAACAAACTTAAAAGACAATCCTCATTTGTGTTTACCGAATGTTGTATACGTGTGTTTACATAACAGTAGCTAAGAGAAGTCTCGAGAATGAGCCTGGATCAGTAATACACTGCCATAAATTATACATAGTATGTTAATATACACTGCCATAAATTGAAAGCTAAAACATAAAACTAAATACAAAAAATAGGTAGACTAAGTTCATAATAAACTGCTAATTTAATTGGTTTTACAATAAATAAACCTATAGTGGCTATATATAAATGAATTAACAGTTTACTACAGTAAAAAGGCTACTACCATGTTTTTTTTATGTCAACAAAACCACTAATTGAGTTCGAGAAAAAAGAGCCTATTTGTGAATTTTGGCCATCTTTTATAACATTAAAAACAAAATTTTAAAAAACAAATTCACCCACAAATTCTTTATCAGCTAAAGTATTCAAAGTAGTTGGCATCCACACCAAATTAAAAGGTACGGAGTACTGATAAACCAACTTATAAATAATTTCAACTTGAAATCGAAATGATCTAATCAAACAATAATTTAACTACTCCCTAATTTAATACGCTAAAAGTATTTATTGGCTACATCAAAGTCAAAAAGAGTAAATAATTAAAGAGGTCGTTCTCTTAGATATACATATAATTGTCATTGAGCCTAAAGTGTCGAATTTTTTATACAGTACTATATATAATAATGGGATGTTTTCTAAGGTACATCATCGCTCTTGTAATTAATTAGTTTAATATGATTTCAATATCAACTATTCAGGCAAGTGGTTCACAATGTACTAGTTTCACTTTCAAGCAAGTGGTTCACAATGTAGTACAGTTTCAAGCAAGTGGCTTCTATCACTGTCGAAGTGATTTCTGTCACGAGTACAGTTTCCCTCTACTCGACTGCTAAAATCTACGAACTACAGCTGCTAGTTTTTCCAAACAGGGCATACGACTCTAGGAGAGTCACAAGTTGATTCAAAGAGTGTTCATTTCATAACCATTTATCAACGCTGATAGGTGGTGCAAGAATGTTACCATCCAAAATGAACTATCAAGGTGGTGCACGAATAAGGACATAATATCACAAAAGAATATGGAAACAAGTGCTAACAAAAATTAAAAAAAAAAAAAAACATAGCAACCATCACAGCAGAGTAAAGCATTATTCGAAGCAAAATATTAAACTATCACGGCAGGGTAAAGCATTATCAGAAAATTAAACTATCATATGCGGTAACGCATTATTCAGAAGCAGAAAATTAAACTATAGGAAGAACGTTAAGAGTACTCAATTTTGTGTAAATTACAATTGCAAGTAAATCATTCTTGATCTTAACTCCCACAACATGAAACTTTGTCTGAAATTATTCTCAACAAACTTTTAAGATGTTCTTGAAAAATGATGGCGATAAGCAGAGTTTTACCTGTCAATTTACGCAATAAAGCAATATCCAATGTCCTCGTAATCTGATTGTAACTATCAGAAATGCTTGACCACAATCATAGTACAGATCAGCTATGAACCTTAACGCCAAACACCAACCTGTATGAGGGGAACCACAGATTCACTACAGGTACAGAGTAAAACACAGAATGAATTGCGAAGCCAGAACCAAAATACAGTACAGACTTACCATAATTGGTTAACAAAACCAAGATCAAGTCCTGAAACACACAAGACAAGAACAAGAAGAAAGGGAGACTAAAGTACGCAACAGATTTGACAAACATTATCAAGATTCAAGAAACTCGTAAATGAAACACGTCATACATTTGAAGTTAATGAACATGCAACACATCAGAGATCATTTCGTCAACCACATGGAACATGAACATGCAAGACATGTTAGATGTTATTCAATCAACTAGATGGAAATAGAACACTGAACATATCATATGGTCATATGAGAAGCTATCAAACGGATTGAAAAAAGGTACATATCACACATGTTATGTTATCTCATCAACCAAATGGAAGAAACATGTAGCACAGATTCAAATCATCCCACCTCAAAAACAGGAAAAACAAAAAAACAGATGTACTACACATGAATCAAATAACAATTGAACACTAAACACTTACTGAATGATTCACCTCATAATGTCTCCTCCAGTGTTCATACCATGAGATTGGCTACTTTTCTTCCTAAAGACTAAACAAGCAGATATGTGCAGTTATGATGATCAATTACATATAATCTAAGAAAATTTACCAACTGTTTTCAAATGTTTACATCGAATGAAAAGGTTAATAGGCTGTTAGCGTTCATCGTCAATGCATTGAACAACTGCAACATGGGCTACGGAAGTTGTGAATACAGTGACAAGTTTAAATCTATTCCTTTATTTAACACTTTCGGCTTCATTGAGTGAGGGGATTAAGAGAGTTAGGGAGTACGAATTCGAAGATTAGTGGATCATATGCTTCCATTGATTGTTAGGCTGGGAAAGAAAAAGTAAACTGGGGAAGGGATAAAATAGATTCAATTTCCTTCCCATTTCAATGAACACCGTTTGCTTCAAAGCTTTGAAATTGTTTTCACACACATTGCTATGACTCTTATTAAATAGGGGAAAGAATTTCCAACTTAAAACAGTTCATGAAAGATATAATTTGGGAAAAACTGACATGAAAAATCGAACTAAAGCATGATTAAACGATGATTTTTCTTGTCTGGAGAGCGTAAAATCTATAGCCTTTTCTTCCTCCCAATTACAAGAAGATTTTAAACCAGAGCATCCTTACTAAAATTGTGGTGAAGGTGAAGTAGCTCCTTTGATTGAAAAGGATGGTGTAAAAAAATTGGAAGATCGAATTTTTAACACCTATACAAGCAAACCTTTACAAAATTGTAGTGAAATTGTTTCTTTAATTGAAAACCATGATGTAGACAAATTCTGGAAATCAAATTTTATAAACTACACCAGCAAAACATGAAATTATTTCTTTATTGAAAACCATGGTGTAGACAAAATCTGAAAATCGAATTTTAAAATCTATACCAGCACTTTAGCAAGTCTTTTAAAAATTGTGGTGAAATTATTTCTTTAATTGAAAACCATAATTTAGACAAAATCTGAAAATCGAATTTTAAAAACTATATTAGCAAACCCTTATCAAAATTGTGGTAAAAATGTTTTTGATTGAAAACCTTGGGAGTAGGCAAAACCAGAAATCGGATTTTTGAAAACTATACCAGCAAACATCGACACAGTATGGCAAACAATGGTAATTGCTAAGCAATTTAGACAGAAGAAGCTAGTTTTAGACAGAAGAAGCTAGTTCTAATCACCTTGTATTGACATCGAAAATCAGGTACACATCTGAGTAACATAAAAAGAAAAATCTATAACTGACTGATAAAACCATGGACATGAAACATGAAAAAAAAAAAATAATAATAATTAATCAATAGCACAACAGAAAAACAACACAAACAATAAAACATCATGTCAAACTCTCAAAATCCTAAAAGAAAGGGGAAGTGTTTAAGGCATCTGCCAAAATTTTAGCACACTGCAACACAGGGGTATGAGGCAGGTGGTATGGTGTGATTATCGGAGGCGGCGGTGGTCCATATAACATCCAAGAGAGCAGGGCGGAGTTGGTTCTGGCAAAACCGGTTGAACTCGAGCGTGTCGCCGCTATCCTTCTTCACCTCCACCATTAGGAAAGAGGAAGACACCGCGAATAGCTCGACCACGATTACCAGCCTACCTTTCCTACCCTTCTCCTGCCCTTGCAGCCTCACCACAGAGTCCCCAACCTTGCTGACCTTGAACTTACCACTCAAGGCAGCCAATTCTTCCAACCTCGAAATCACTTCAGTTTGAGATATTGTTGTTGTGAATCCAATTTCTTCCCTCTCCTCCCTCTTCTTCTTCTCTTCCGAGAAGAGGGCGGAGAGGTCTAACCCTTCTGACATCGATATGATATGGAAAGCATTCAACGCCTCCACTTCCTTCTTCAGAAACTTGTTGATGGTGGTGTTGTTATTCCCTTCTTCTTCGTCGTCGGCCTCGAAGATATCAGCTTTAAACCACTTTGATTCCATAATCTCAGCCAAGGTGATGCGTGTAGCAGGGTTAGGATCAAGCATCCGAGTGATCAACTCCCTCGCCTCGGCCGAAAACCAAGTCGGACAAGTGAAATCACCCTTGTACACCTTCCGATACATCTGCATAATATTCTCGTCATGAAAAGGGAGATAACCAGCAAGAAGGACAAACAATATCACACCACAAGACCATATATCCGCCTTCGAACCGTCGTAACCTTGCCCCCTTTTGCTAACCACCTCAGGCGCAACATAGTGCGGCGTCCCACAAGTAGTCCGCAACAAAACCTGGTTATTCTCTTCTTCTTCAAAGAAAGCACTCAATCCGAAATCAGTGATCTTGAGATTATCATCTTGATCCAACAACAAATTCTCCAATTTCAAATCTCGATGGAAAACCCCTCTACTATGGCAGTAATCAACAGCAGAGATCAATTGCCGGAAATACGATCTCGCCGTATGTTCTTCCAATTTCCCTTCCTTTGAAACCTTAGCGTGGAGCTCGCCCCCTCGGACGAGCTCCAACGCTAAGAAGATCTTCGACTTCGTAGCCATAACCTCGTAAAGCTCGACAATATTAGGGTGTTTCAGCCTCTTCATGACGCTGATCTCCCTCTTCATCTGATCCATCATCTTCGCCCTTACGACCTTCTCTTTTCCCACAACTTTCATCGCAACGCTCTTCCCCGATTCGAGGTTGCGCGCATAGTAAACCCGGGCAAAGGTCCCCTGACCCAGCACCCTTCCGAGCTCATACTTCCCCTGCATCACCAATTTACAGTAATTCGGCCTCGACTCGGCCGCATTTTTGTTGCTGTTGTTATCTTTAACCGCTAACATGAATTCCCCCATCATTTTAGACTTGAGAAATCACGAATTAAATCTACCAAATTAACCCCGATTATATATATACTTTACTCTTTTTTTTTTCTAATCTGAGAGAGGAGGAGGTTTAAGAATTCACAAGATCTTCTATATTTTGTATTTTGTTCTATAAAAAAGAAAAACTACCCGTCTTCGACGTGTTTACGGTGCCAATTCCGGCCTCCGAGCACATGATGGTTCTTCTGAGCAATACCACCTCGCACATACGGGTTAAAAAGCGATAGACAACTCATATTTCCGCATTAATTCGCCGGCTAATGCCTCTTTCTCACGGCTGCTTTGTGGTGGTGTATTTGTATTTCTAAGGGCGGAGGAAAGAAAGTAGTTTTGTAGGAGAGAGAAAGTAGAGAGAGAATGAATATTGAGGTATTTTAGGTTTGAATAATATTGATAAAAATTGTAGGAAGGTATTTATAGTGTAAAAAAACGGGGAAAATTCAGCAGAAACCTAGAGGGATCGTTTCAGTTGGCTATTTTCATTTTTTAATTAATAAATAAAAAAATACTTACTGTAACTTGACTCATCCTGACGTGGAAAATTCAATACAAATTACAATTCCTATCCTTTATTTTAAAATAATTTCAAAAAAGATTTGTTGGTTTGTTAGGCACAATACTAGTATTGTTGAGAAACAGCTCATTCATAATCACAACATAAAAGGATAGATGGTGGTGAAGCTGAAGTTGACTCGCAAATTGATAAAAATAGAATGGGTAAAATTGGAAAAAGTATTATAAAAAATACGTGGATATACAACTCAATAAGACAACGGTGGTAGGGTATTTGCTTACTTAGTCTTACGTGTACCGTGTGAAAGACCTAATCATTTAACCCACACCATAATGCAACTTGCTACTACTAAAATCTCAATGATAATTGTTGTGATCTGATCCGTTGCACACCGCTACTACTTGATTTGAATTGTAGCGTAGATGCGTAATTATCTGCCCCTTGTTTTAAGGACGATTGACTGCCTTTTTTTTTTTTTTTTTTTTTTTTTTTTTTTTTTTTTTGTTATGAAGTGAATAATAAACGTGATTTATTAAGCACCTGGTTTTTGTTTATGCCGTTTTTGAATTCCCAATGATATTACACGGTTTCTACAATTATTTTGCCTTTAAATAAAATTTGTTATCCTTGGGATTTTTTGTGGTGATTTGGAGAGAGGCAAATTGTGTAGCTAACTCGAGAGCTGATACACATACAATACTTGTATGTTATCTCTACATACAATATCACTAGAAATTTGACACATCATTAAAAAAAGGAAAAAAAATTAGGAGTCAAATATAAATTGAATTTTAATGGAACATGGGCTATTATTGTAGCCAATAAAAACATGACAAAGTAAGGTTGTATGTATAGCCTTTACCAGCTGACTCAAGGTTTGTTATTTAAGTTTATTTTACCATTATTTCTAATTTCTTGTTATCATGCATATAATATCAAGAGCTACATGTAACCATTTAATACATTAATCTCCAAATTAATTTCTTTCAGAATTACATAAGCTGATTTCCTTGAATAATGTTAAAATACAAATTAATTCCTTATATACATTTGTTTAAAAATTATTTGCCACAATATCATCATAGGTTTGGTTCCTAGGTTTGGAATTTGGCAGTATAATGTTAGCGGTTCTATATAGAAACATTAATACCATTAGAGGTTCTATGTATAGAACCGCTAATACCATTAACGATATTATATAAGCTAATGATATTAGCGGTTCTAAGTTGAAGCTAGCTTTATGTTTTGAAAGATAAGTTGAAGCTAACTTTAGCTTTCACTTATATTAGATTATATAATATCTTTAATGATAAAATCAAATTATATAGAACCTCTAATGGTATTAGTTGTTCTATTTTAAAGCAGCTCTTTATATATAAAACCCCGCTAATATCATTAGAGGTTCTATATTAGTTAAAACCACCAACAATGTTAGCGGTTTTATACTAGCAAATATTGAACCTTGAAACCAAGTCCATGTAGACGGTATTGTGAAAAATAGTTTTTAAATCAATGTATATTAGTAATTACTCCGTAATTTAGGCCTTTTTTGGTTCGCCTTAATTTTTCTTATCTAAACTTATCTGATCTGGTTTGGTCTAATCTAATCTGATTATGTTCTTATCTGATTTGATCTGAATATCAAATTTGACCAAACTTTGACCTTAAATATACAATAATATATACGGAAAAAGTATATCAAAGTGAGTCTTGTTAGATTCGTAATAATGTGTATTTTATTAAGAGAGCGTATTATGTGCGGCTTGACTGACGAAACAACTCGTACGTCAAAGCACAAACAATAAAAAAAAGGCGCGGTTTTAAAGCCTGGTACAATCGGGCTTCGTCAGCCCGATTAAAAAAGACGCGGACTTAAACACCTGTGTACAGGCTGATATTGTAACACCCCAATAATTCTTTCTTTAAACTTGTGAGGACCCTGAACAATATTCAAGAGAATTACTGGCGTGTTACCGCCACGTGTTCAAACGTTAAGGCTTTTTCAGAAAATAGCAGCGCAAAAGCTAAATCAATTATAGATAAGTTTCAAAATCAATAACCAAAACCAAAACTAAATCTTACAACTTGGAACCATTAAGGCCCTTATTCAAAACTCAACCCCATAGAAATAGTATGAAAGTAAAGTTGAGTTTAAATAACTTTAAAAGTAAATAACAATAAAAATAAGAAAAGTAACCAACACTCCACTCAAGATCCCACCATCTAGAAACGGATGTTGCATGTGTAAGAACATGTGGTTAATCTGCTCCCAAATATTACAAGTGTAAAAATTGGATCGTCACAGGGTCATTGAAAGGCGAAGGCCATGACCGAAGAAAGGCACACAAAGCACGCAATCAGCAAAGCTGAGTACATACAAGCTGTAAAACATAAAAGAAATCCCTAACATGCTACTAATAATCAATCATCACTCATCATTAGTTTCACTAGGTGAAAAAACAAAATTGACACCGGTTCAAAACCCCTCAATGCCATCGGTTTTGAACCAGTGCCAATGTGGGGGGTGCTAATTAGGGATGGAAAAGCCACCGATTTGAACCGGTGGCAAAACTCGAAATTAGCACCGGTTAACCGGTGCCATAAAAGCCCACAAAAAATTAATAATAAGTTTCTGGCACCGGTTAACTGATGCCGAAAAAGCCCAAAAAAATCATTTTTTTTTTGTCTTTTTTCACTTAAAAATTAAATTGACTAAAATAAATAAGAACAAAAAAATATAAATCGAATACCATTCAATAAAATTTACAGTATATAATAAAAAAAATTTACAATATAGGTCTATAAAATTGATCAATTACAACATATAAATAATAAAAAAAAAAACTACAATATAAATCAAAACAAAATTACAACATCACAATCTAAAAATCCCCATATTCTTGATTATTGATTCTTTAATTATGTGCACTATTTTGGGTTGCAAAGCAATAGTATACCTACGCCAATTAAAACATCCAAAATAAATCGATTAAAATGAATTAGCTGCGAAAAAAATAAAAAAACCCAGAAAAAAAAATCGAATTAAAATCGATTAAAATAAAAAAATCGAACAGTTAAAAACCCAGAAAATAAAAAAAAATCGAATTTAAATCGATTAAAATAACAAAAAAAATCGATACCGTAGACACCCATTTGTGTCTCCCCAAAACCGAACCCGGTGATGAGTACCTTTCACGTCGAATCGTAATCGAATGAAGTAGTGAAAGTGCGGAAAGTTTAGTGTTGCGGATAGTTTTAATTTCTTTTCTCTTCTCTCTGTTTTTGAAAATCTATTTTAAGAAAACAGTCAATCCAGTTTGGTTGGTCCATGATATGGGTCCAATAGTAGTGTAGTTGGATAGGGCTTGAAAAGAGCTTTCCAACGATATATTATAAGCCCAATTCCGATGAATATTGAGGAAGTTATAGCCAAATTACTAAAATGAGCCCGGTTTGAGCCTTATATGCGGCCTAATGATCTAGAGGAGGGCATAATATAGATTTATCATTCCTAATGCAATTAGGAATGGTTTTGGTCTTCTAGATTCTTCTAGAAGGTTCTTTTCATTCCTAATTCAATTAGCATTGATAAATTGACTTTTGTTGACTTTTTAGAGTTTTAATCAGAATAAAAGAATTTTTTGAGGAAAATACGATTTTATCCTCCTGTACGGTTGTAGGCGTCGCTCGAAGTGCGCCTACGTTAAAAGCATGTGGTGAATATGCTTGGCACTCATAGGAAGTGGGAATTGACATAATACGATTAGGGACAAGGAAAGTAGGGAGCCGCCAACAAGTTTTTAAGGAACTTGTAAACCGTTCACGGATCATAAAAGGCAACCACGATAAAGGGACAACGAAGGCAACAACGATTGACCCGTGAAGGTTACACCCTATTCATAATCCATGAGATTACTAACTCCATATGGTTCGGAACCACGAAAGGAGGATCGGGGATGATGGTACGAAGTGAGTCATGGAGTCATATTCGCCCGTATTGGCCTCTACTCGGTTCTTATAGTGAAAAGTGATTCCTGCGATCTCAAAGGCATACAAACAAAGATTCAATTTGCTCCAAACTATTATTAAGCTAAATTGGTTGAATATTAATGCACCACATAATTCTAAAATATTTGTGATCACTTGATTAAACAATAAGATTAAAAAGGAACCTAAACCAGTTGTCCAAATTATCTTATTAGGCGTGATTTTCAATTACATATTCCCTTTTAACATGCAATATGGTGATCATAAATAATAATAAAATACACATTAATATTGGAAGCAATTTAACCATAATTCCAACAATATAAAATCGTTAGAAAAATAATAGAAATAAAAGGAACATGATTCTTACTTTGATTCTGTTTGTTTGCAACTACAAAATAATAAACGAGTTAGTAACTTCAAGGAAATAAAAAAAAACAATGATTAAATTAAATTAAACAAAGTAGAGTTGATTTGGGGCCAAACCCTCAAACAGTTCTACCTTTCACGCCTTGGCTTAAGGACAGAACCACGAGTAAAGTATGGACTCCTTTGAGCACTTGAAGAAGGAATTTTGAAATGAGAAGGGTAGGCTAGTGTTTAGGCTAAATCATAGAAGAGAGAAAAATAAAACTAGAGAATTAATTGATGCCCTGTACATCAGAAATAAGGGGGTATTTATAGGGAAAATGTGCTGAGGGAGCACACGGAGTACCGTCTCACAAATAATACCCCTTTGTTGTGAGTAATATGTAACGGAGGGAGTAATATAACATCCCAACTATTAGTTTATATGTTAAAATCATGAAAATACAACGTATAATATAAAATTACAGCAAGTTTAACTTACTAACATATGCTGAAAATTTGTTTTATTAATAGTTTTTGCAATCCAAA